TATTAAATTTTTCCATGTTCAAGAAAGTTCAATTGTTTAAAAATATCTTTTGTGCAAAATTTCTCAAGCCTTTTACTGTCGGTGAGAACTGCAAATCTCTCATAAGAACTAAGTGTACTGAATTTCCCAACTTATTTAGGCACAGGAATTTTTTTTTGTCCTGCATCTCCTGGGACCAGAGTTTTGGAGGAAATGTCATTCTAGCTGCAACTTAAAGAATGTTCTTCCCTCTGCTTGGAATACTCTTCCCACACCCTCACCCCAAAGCCTGCCCAATTCCTAGTCAATTATCATACTCCAGCTTAAATAATATTTTATTCAAAAAGTCTATACCACCACCCTCCCCTAACCTCAAATACAGTTGTTAACACATATCACTTGCTCCTTTCAACTCTATAGTTATTTTATAGTATGTAACACCAAGACAATCATCTGTGCATTTCCCACTTAGAATATGTGGAGTGGAGGACAATCTAAAATGTGATCCTGACCTACTGACATTCTGCTTTTGTGTAGCCACTTCCCACGTGGATTCATGACTGGTCTTCCAAGACCAACAAAATACAGCAGAAGTGAAGATATTTGATTATGAAGGTTAAGTCATAAAAGGCACTGTGGTTCTGTCTTGAGTTTACTGATGTCTTGCTCCAGGGAAAGTAGCCACCATGCTATGAAGACACCCAAGTATCCTTACAGAGAAGAGCTAAGGACCCTGGCACTCCAGTGACAGTGACAACTTGGAAAAAAATCTCAACCTCCAATTAAGCCTTCAGAGGAATGCAGCTCTAGCCAGCATCTGAGTGCAATCCAATGACAGACCACAATAAGATCCAGCTGAGCCCTTTCTAAATTTCTGACCCACAGAAACCATGACAGTATCAACTGCTGGGGAGCCAGAAAAATGAGCCGTTTACTATTGGACTATACTGCCTCTCTCTCACACACACACAAACACACATACACGTGTGCACACACAAAACAAGGACCTAAATACAGTACCTGAACCATAATGGCACTCATTATATATGAATGGATAAACAAGAAAGCCAGGAGTAAAGTAAATTATACATACATATATATATACATCCATATACACAAACACATGTACCTATATATAAAAATATATGTTATTATAAATATATATAGCTATAATGAGCTGCTTGCTAATTTGAGTTATGAAATGAGAGGAAAAGCATTCCTTATAAGACATTTGATACTTAACACACACACACATATATATATATACACAAATATAGAGTATACTTGTTTTATTTCACTTACAACAGGTACATAAAGATTATACATATTTATGGGGTACAGTGCGCAGTTTCAATATTTGTATACAATGTATGATGACCAAGTTAGGATAATTAGCATGTCTATACCTCAAAAGATCTACATTTCATTGTGGAAGCAGTTTTCAAATCCACTCTTCTATTTCTGTATAGAAATATACAGTATGCTATTGTTAAATATAGTTACTCTACTGGGCAATGGAAAACTAGAATTTATTTCTATTAACCATAACTTTTAACTTTGCATCCATTGACCAACCTCTCCTGATCCCTCCCTCCCCGACTACCCTTCCCAGTTCTAGTAAGCACTGTACTACTTCCTACTTCTATGAGATCAAGTTTTTTAAATTCCACACTTGAGTGAGATCTTGCTATTATAAGACTCTAAAAAAATCAAATTATCTCCCATTGACTACAGCTCCAAACTGAGATGTCCAGGAAACATGGCTTTGGCATTATACCTGTGTGATTTTAGTCAAGTGACATTCCTCTTTGAGCCTCAGCTTTCTTTGCTAGAAAACACACAAGTTGGACTGAGGTATTTTCAGAGGCTGTTTCTGCTCTGACAAGCTTAGTAAAGGCCTTGCACCAACTCAGCAGGGTGGGAATGGAAATCAAGTTGGGGACCACAGTCTTTCTGAGGCAGAGCCAAAAGGGAGGGAATCCCAGGTCACCTGCTGAAGTCCTGCCTCCTCTGCTGTTCTTTCCATTGTTTCTAGCTTTGGGCTGGGCAGATTTTAATGGGTTGTATTGTCTGCAAGAAATGGCAGAAGCTCCATCATTTCCAAATCTCTGGGATACACCACACTTCCAGGAGAGTTTTGGTGAAGGTGGTGGTCTTTGATTATGGAGGTGGTGCAAATGCTATCATTAACAGCCTTTGCAGCCCTCAGACTCTAATGTTAGTCCTCAAAGAACAGCTCCTGCCAACAGTCTCACATAGGTAACTCTTAACAGATACAACAGCTGCTTTCTAAGAACACAGTGTAGCTTTTAGGCAGTCTGCCTAGAAATTCTTTTCCACTGAATTCCTGGAAGAGGCTGCTTGATTTTATCCACACCCAGTACTCGGGGAGAGCAGGCCAGAAAGCCGAGAACAGTCACACACTGCACCTGAGAAAATTGCATCTGCACAATCCAGGCTTATTGATAGTGGAATGCAATGTTCTATAAGGACTTTGTAAGGGTGGGTTAGGGAAAGAGATATTAATGCTGACTTACTATTGTGCTGGGGATTAAGGTGGGTATTGAAATTGGGAATATAATGTCTACTGAGTACTTGTCACATGTCAGGCACATTATTCTGTATTTCATTTCATTCTTATTAGAGTTCTGAAAGGTATATTAAAACCATTTAGTAATTCACAGAACATTAGATAGTCTACTCAGGTCTTGTCTTAGTACAAGATCTCCACAATTTCTAGGCTATCTTGCTTCTTGAAAATGTCTTTAAGAATGTGTGTGTGTGTGTGTGTGTGCATAGCACAGAGGAAAGTATAGAAAAATAAATACATATTAGGATAGGAATTGGCAATCATGGTCCAAGAGCCAAGTCTGGCCAGATGCTTGATTTTGTAAATAAAGTTTTATTGGCACACTGCCATGGTCATTCATTTATACACTGTCTATGGCTACTTTCACATTATATACTTGAATTGAGTGGTGAGACAGAGACCACATGGTATCCTACTCTCTAAAGATTTGCCAACACTCCTCTTGAAAGTTCTATAAATAGAAGGCAACTACAGACCCCAGCCTAAAAAGATATAATTAATTTTTCTAATTAGTCATGCTTAAATACTGAAAAAATCAAAATTAACCAAACAACAAACATAATTAAATATCAACTTAGAGGATAAATTGGATGAATGTTATTTTTGAATGTTGGAAGTCACTAATAAACTAAAGCCACCATTAAAATGAAAGCAGATTTATGGGTTAAGCGAGCTGAGAAAGTTTACTGTGTAAGGAGCTAATCCCAAACCATCTTCTGAAGGAATAAGTGATATTTTCATTCAAAGGAGCTGTGACTTCTCCATTCTGAGGGGACAGTTGAACCAGTCACTCAAAGGAGAAAGAATGCTGATGACACTGAATACGCAGCAATGCTTTCCCCGTCACCACCAGTCTTCACTAGCACCATCAAAGAATGAAGGTGTTCATCAGGTTCCTTGAGATCCGAGCACAAAGGGACAGAGGATCCCCAGAGAAATTCTGGCGTATATACCGAACGACTGAGTGATCTCTCTAATGCAGTGGAAACGGCAGCTCTGGAAAGGTAAGGAGACTTGCCCAAAGGCACATGGCGGTTAAAGGCAGAAGGTACCATCCTGGTCTCCAAAACCCAGTGAGATCCTGCCCTCATCTGAACATGAGCTGGGATGTCTATAGGCAAACAAGAAATTTCCTCTCACTGGCACTCTCATTCCTGCCCCCAAAGGACAATATTGGCATGGATCATTGTTTCTCAAATCTCAGCAATTTTTGGAACACCACTATAATTTTGACAGATCTGTGTACCACACATACTATCATTGACTTAATATGACTTAATAATTCAGCAACTTTATCTTAAGTGAATTTACTGTACAGAAAAACTACTGTATTAAAATGAGTGAAAAACATGTATCAGTTACCCTACAGAGAAAATACTATACAAATACAGCAATGTTATTAAATTCCATGTAGATAATAGTGCCAAACAGAGCCCTGTTTTTAAGTCCTCTCCTCAATGCCTTTACAAAGAGTAGAGAAAATATAGGAGAGATCTTGAAGAGTCACAACAAACTGAGAATCTCTCTAGAAGGATAGAAAAAGGGTAAAGCCACCGCCTGCAGTGCCAGCATCTCATATGGGTGCCAGTTTGAGCCAGGCTGTTTCACTTCCAATCCAGTTCTCTGCTATGGCCTTGGAAAGAAGTAGAAGATGGCCCAAGTGCTTGGGCCCCTGCACCCACATGGGAGACCAGGAAAAAGCTCCTGGTGTCGGACTGGCTCAGCTCTGGCCATTGTGGCCATTTGGGAAGTGAACCAACTGATGGAAGACCTCTCTTTCTCTCTCTCTCTCTCTCTATCTCTCACTTTTGCTCTTGCTCTCTCTCTTCCTCTGCCTCTCTGTAACTCTGCCTTTCAAATAACAAATAAATAAGTCCTTTGAAAAAAAGAAAAATAATTGAAAAGAGCATAAACTTCTCACAATTTCCTACCACTGGTATTAGTCCGTCCAGACATTTGGAAGCACAGAAAACAAATGAAGAGTCTTCTGTCCTGAGAAATTCAAAGTCAGTCAAAGAATTAGGGGAGGGGTAGAAGATCAGAAAGATTGCCTTTCTAACATGGATTCAGTGCCTCCAGTTTCTTTGTTGCCATCTTGTGCATAGCAAACACTTGAGTAATGTTTGTGAACACCAGTGAGAATAGCATGGTATATCAAACCTTGGCCATTAGATTCAGAACTGAAGTTCAATCTCTATTACCACGAATTTTATGACTTTGTACTGGTTATATACCCTCTCTAAGTCTAGCTTTAATCTATTAAAAAGAATAGGCATAAGAATTAATGATATCTACCATACATAATTAAATACAGGCATACAAAAAATGTCCAGTATATGATGTCATTCAGTAAAATAAGTTTCCTCCCTACATCCCTAGTTTAGTCCATTTTCTGTTACGAAAAGGAAGCACCTACAGCAAGGTAACTTACTGAGAAAACAGGCTCAATTAGGTGAAAGTTCAAACAGCATGGTGCAGTCTCGCCCAAGTCCTCATCACTGCATCACATGGCAGAAGGGATCACGAGAGTGCATGTGAGATGGAGAGATCATGGAAACAGGAAGCCTGAGGCTGAGAAGGGGCCAGGTCCATTCTTACATAACAATCCCCTTGGAACAACCAGCCAAGGTCTCAAGGAAACTATATAAATTAAATTCCTTCCTATGACCCAATCACCATGCACTGCCTCCCAATATCACCACTGTCTCCCAACATCACCACACTGAGGACTGAGCACCTAAGACATGGGAGGGGGGTATCATTCAGACATACCAAACCACAACACCCTTTCTGCCTTCCCAGCCAGAACTGAACTCCCACAGCACTGCCTTTCCTTACCTGTTCTGAACACTGAGCAAATGAGTTTTGTTCTAAATTTTTACATAGTTTAGCTCTTTTTTGTTTGTTTTTTATTTATTTAAGGTATATAAATTTCATGCTCTTCATATATACAGATTTAGGAACACAGTGATACTTCCCACCCTACTTTCTCTCCTGCCCACACTCCCACACTTCCTCCTCCTCTTTTTTGTATTTCCTCCCTTAATTTTTACAATGATCTACTTTCAGCTTACTTTACATTCATAAGATTAAACCTGCACTAAGAGTTCAACAAATAGTAAGAAGGAAAAAAATACTGTTCCTTAACAATAGACACAAGAATTATAAACAATCATTGAATCTCAAAATGTCAATTTCACTCCTACACATTACATTTTTTGGTTACCTATTAGTTACCACAGATCAGGGAAAATATATAGTGTTTGTCTTTTGGTGACTGGCTTATTTCACTAAGTATAATGGTTTCCAATTGCATTCTTTTTGCTTCAATCAACAGGATTTCATTCTTTATTTTACAGCTGAGTAGTATTCCTTGGTGTACATATATCATAATTTCTTTATCATGTAATCAGTTGATGGATATCTAAGTTGATTCCATATCTTAGTTATTGTGAATTGAGCTGCAATAAACATGGGGATACAGATAACTCTTTCATATGTTGATTTCATCTCCCTTGGATAAATTCCCAGGAGTGGGAGGGCTGGGTCAAATGCTAGATCTACATTCAGATTTCTGAGGTATCTCCAGATTTCTGAAGTATGTCCATCCATACCATCTTCCACAGTGGGTGTATAAGTTTACATTCCCACCAACAGTGGATTAGGGTACCTTTTTCCCCACATCCTCACCAGCATTCGTTTTTTGTTGATTTCTGAATGAATCAACAAACCTCAAATGGGGGTAAAATGAAACCTCATTATGGTTTTGACTTGCATTTCCCTGATGGCTAGTAATCCTATGTATTTTTTCATGTGTCTGTTGGCTGTTTGAATTTCCTCTTAAAAAAAAAAAAAAAAAAAAAAAAAAAAAAAAGCCTGTTCAAGTCCGGAGCCCTTTCTTAACTGGATTCTTTGTTTTGTTGTTGTCAAGTTTCTTGAGCTCTTAGATCCTTTATCAGTTTTATAGTTTGTAAATATCTTCTCCCGTTCTGTCAGCTGTCTTTTCACTTTGCTGAGTGTTTCCTTTGCAGTGCAGAACCTTCTTACTTTCATGTAATCCCATTTGTCTATTTTGGCTTTGGTTGCCTGTGCCTCTGGGGTCTTTTCCAAGAAGTCTTTGCCTATGACAATGTCTTGCAGAGTTTCCCCAATGTTCTCCTTTAGTAATTTGATGGCACCAAGTCACAGATTCAGATCCTTGAGTCATTTTGAGTTGATTTTTGTATAATGTGTAAGGTAGGGGTCTTGCTTCATACTTCTACATGCAGAAATCCAAGTTTCACAGCATCATTTGTTGAAGAGACTGCCCTTTCTCCAAGGATTGATTTTAACTCCTTTGTCAAGGACTAGTTGGTTGTATATGTGTTGGCTGATTTCTGGAGTTTCTATTCTGTTCCACTGGTCTACATGTCTATTTGTGTGCCAGTACCAGGCTGTTTCTATCATGGCCACCCTGTAGTATGTCTTGAAATCTGGTATTATGATGCTACCAGCTGTGTTTTTGTTGTATAAGATTGCTTTAGCCTTTTAGGGTCTCTAGTGTTTCCATATGAATTTTGGCATCATTTTTTCTAGAGATGAGAAAGATGTCATTGGTAATTTGATTGGGATCACATTGAACCTGTAAATTGCTTTCAGTAGTATGGACATTTTGATGATATTAATTCTTCCAATCCATAAACAGGAAGATTTTTCCATTTTTTCTGTCTCCTACTATTTCTTTCTTTAATGTTCTATAATTTTCATCATAGAGATCTTTCATCTTCTAGGTTAAGTGTCCTTTTTCTAAGCAAAGACATTCAGAAATCTCCTGTCAAAAATTCCACAAGAAGCCCACTCATGGGATTATGTTCTTTGATTATAGATTTGGTTTCCCTACCTGCTGCTAACCACCACAGAGTGAACACTCCTCATTCTATGTCTGCTAGCGTCCGTTTGTTTCCTAGTGTCTCTAGCAACCAACCTCCTTAATGAACACAGAGCTGAATGAGGCAACATTCAATTTGCAATGACTTCTTTCCAAAGGGATTAGCTTCTCTACCAGGTCTCATAGAAGGTGAGAAGATCTCTGTTCAGTTTTGCCCTAATTATGACCTATGAAGTGAATGCCCTTCTAATCCACAGGCATGATACTGTGGATAGGGTAAGGAATACTGACTTAGTCTGCATATCATTCACAGAACAACAAAGCACAGTGAGTAGGAGTCTAGATGGTCAGACTAAAGCTCTTTACTTACTTAACCTCTCTGCCTCTGTGACTCAGTTTACTAACCTTTAAAATTGGACTAAAATGGTTTCTACATTGTGCAATTATTGCAAAATTAGTCTCAAGTATATAAAGTGCTTAAGTAAATTAAAGTGTTAAGCATATAAAATGCTTAAAACATAGCCTGACACATAGCAGCCCCTTCATAAATATTAGCTACCATTATTTCTAGGCATGCGATAATCCTTTCTCTTCTTTTTTTTAATATGTATTAATTTGTTTATTTGAAAGGCAAAGTGACAAGAGAGAGGAAGAGAGGATGTAGTGGGGAGAGAGGAGAGAAGAGAGGAAGAGGAAGGGGGAGGAGAGAGAGAGAGAGAGAGAGAGAGAGAGAGAGATTGATTTTCCAACTGCTGGTTCACTAATCAAATAATTGTAACAGCTGTAGCTAGCCAGGCAGAAGCCAGAAGCCAGGAACTCCATCCAGGTCTCTCATGTGGATAGCAGGAGCCCAAATATTTGGGGCACCTTCTGTTGTCTTGCCAGGAATATTAGTAGGAAGCTGGATCAGAAGCAGAGTAGCCAAGATTCCAAACTCCAGTAAGGGATGTTGGCTGTGCCACAACACCAACCGTATAAGCATGGAATTCTAAGGGATGAAAGAGAAAATCATTTTTTGTATATTTAACCTAAGTCAAAGAAAGAACCAGGTACTACATGTATTCTATATCACTTACTCCTCAATATCACCTTTAACACTGAAATTTTATTTCCATTGTAGAGATAGTGAAACCAAGACCTAGAAAGATAAAATAATTGGCTCAAGGTCACAGAGTTTGCAAGGGGTTGGGGTAGTTTTTGGACAGAAGAATGTTCAACACCACAAACACTCTTCTTCCTCTCTACAGCTGAGTTTTGTTTCCTTCACATACAAATGGTCCTGCCAAAGACCAAGCCCCTGCTTCCTTGCCCATGATAAGTGTTGGCCCCTGTCTTCCTCACACAGACTGCGCACCTCACCTGACCTAGTCTTCCCTGCCAACACCCATGCCTATCTTTGTTAATCTCTTCCCATAAATCCAACTCCTACAATCTTTCATTACTCTCTGCTGCTCTCCTTTTAACTGGTTCCAATCCCTTAGCATCTGCTTATTAATCAGAGGTCCAATACCAAAGGCAATCTGCTGGGACACTCTGAAACCACACCAGCACTGAGATGAATAACTACTACCTGGTTCTTCACAAAAAAGTTTCTCACTGATTCCCGAAATGGAAAGATACAAACTAGTGGCTAAGGGTGAATCAGAAACCTTCAAGAAGCAGAAAAGAGAGTCACTCAATTAAGCAATGGTAAGAAAAGTAAATAGAGGTAAGATTGCCTACGCAACAGTGTGAAAATGGGACTCAAATCCATGTAACAAAGGTACTGAATAACACGGCGGCAAAATGCAGGTCCTAGGAACGAGTATGAATGGAGATGCACAAGAGGACTAAAATATCCCTCCTGTTGAAGAAATCATCATCTAGATTTGCATTGCTTAACATGGGAGCCACTAACCATATTGATAATTGAGAGTTTGAAATGTGATCAGGAAAAATTGAGATGTTCTGTAAGTGTAAAACACACACCATATTTGTAGATTTAATATGGAAAAGTCATATAAAATATCACACTAATAATTCTTGCCTTCATTACCAGTTGGAACAATATTTTGAATATATTGAGGTAAATAAAATATATTACTAAAATTAATTTCATCATTGCTTTTTTTAACTTTTATTTAATGAATATAAATTTCCAAAGTACAGCTTATGGATTACAATGTCTTCCCCCCCATAACGTCCCTCCAACCCGCAACCCTCCCATTTTCTGCTCCCTCTCCCCTTCCATTCACATCAAGATTCATTTTCAATTATCTTTATATACAGAAGATCAGTTTAGCATATATTAAGTAAAGATTTCAACAGTGTGCACCCACACAGAAACACAAAGTGAAAAATATTGTTTGAGTACTAGTTATAGCATTAAATTACAATGTACAGCACATTAAGGACAGAGATCCTACATTGCTTTTTACTTTTTTAATGAGGCTACTGAAATTAGATATGTTGAACAGCTCTGATCTATTTTACAAAGTAGACATGGAGTAACCATGCTGGACAAGTCAAACAATAGCAAATACTTGACTAAACAATCAGTGCCTATCATTAGGGATGGGACGGCTTCAAATGAAGGAAGTACAGTGATCACTTTTGTGTACAATTCACATCAATTTCAAGACATCCATTTGCTTCCATATTTTTGAAAGCTCCTTGCTTAATATTTCCCTTATGTCAGTCAATATGAGAATATTGGCA